CCATCTTCATTTAACGAACAAAAGCACCAGCCATGAGCAAAAAAGTCAAAGGAGCTTAAGGCCCTAAGTTCAAAACAGTACTGGGGAAGGAAAATAAATAAATAATGCCAGGCACTGTAGCTCCTGCCTGAAATCCTAGCTACTCAGGAGGCTGAGATCTGAGGATCACAGTTTGAAGCCAGCCCAAGCAGGAAAGTTCGTGAGACTGTTATCTCCAATTAGTCACAGAAAAATCCAGAAGTGGCACTATGACTCAAGTGGTAGAGCACTGACCCTGAGCACAAAAAGGCTCTGGAACAGCACCTAGGCCCCAGAATTGACAAAAGGAATAAGGACATGGAATTTACTTGTCCACCGCTTAAATGTTGGTAGGCATCAGCAGTCATGATGCAAGCCAACATTTAGTCTTCACTTTGGTCTTCTTTGCTGCGGTTGGAGCCTTGTGGCCTTTAAGCCTGCAAGAGGCACATGGCCCAGTCCCTTTCCTAGCCCACCAACAGAAGTGTGTTGAGAGGTTAGTGAATCCAGCCTAGAACTGCCAAGCCACATGTAAGGATTCATAAAGTGAATCTACATGCTACACAATGTTTCCATCAGTGTACAACTACATAAGCCATGTTCCCATGAGATGATAATGGAGCTTAAAATTTCCAGTCACTTAGCAATATAACCTGTCATAGCACATTTACAAGGATGCTGGTATAAAAGGAACGTACTTAGTCAGGCTCCAAGAGCAAATGCCTGTAAACCTAGACACTGGGAAGACAAAGATTAGGAGGATTGCCAAAGCAAATGATTCCATTTCAATCATAGCTGGGCACAGTGGTACACACCTGTTATCTTACTTATGTGGGGGAGTCTCATCCATAGGATTGCAGTCCCAGGCCAGTTCCTAGCCCCCCCCCAAAAAAAATCATGAGATACCATCTCAAAGCTAGACATGATGGTGTGCTCCTGTCATCCCAGCTACTAAGGGAAGCATAAATAGGAAGATGGCAATCCAGGCTGGCTCCAGCAAAAAGCAAGATCGTATCTCAAAAATAACCAAAGCAAAGAAGGCTAGAGCCATAGCATACAGCTCTGAAATCAAACCCCAGTACCACCAAAAAAAAAAAAAAAAAAACTCTGCTGTTGACCATAAAAATATAGTACAAGAAATAAGTAGAGCCAGGTGCTGGTAGCTCACACCTGTAATCCCATTCAAGAAGCTGAGATCTGAGAATTGAGGTTCAAAGCCAGCCTAAGGTGTGAGACTTTTATCTCCAATTAAACACTAAAGTGAAACTGTGCCTCAAGTGGTAGAGTGCTAGCCTGGAGCACAAACATTCAGGAGCAGTGCCCAAACCCTCACCAGGACTGGCACACATGCATGCACACACAGCCAGGAATGATGTGAGGAAGGAAAGGACAGAAGGAAAAGGAGGAGCTATATTCCTGTTTTATACTTCATATCTTTATTTTAAGGTATTCTGCTTATAACAACAAAACTGGAAGTGAGGTGTAAAATAGCCTCAGGCAAGTCCTGCAGGAGCTGTTCCAGAAGAGGCACTGTTGTCCTTGGAGGTGACAGTTCCATTCGTGTTGTTCCCCTGGAAGATCGTCCAGTGGAACAAAATGTGGACATGGAAGACAATGGTGTTGATAGTCCTGACTCCATGTCAGCCTGGGCTAATGCATGTGCTTGGGTCCTAGTTAACACAAAGTTTAAAAAGCAAAAACTGAACATTTTTAAACAGAAGAGAGCCTGAAGAATGCTATAAAGAAAAGGAAACATTTCTGTACAGCTCTACAACGTGTTTGACTCACGCCAGCATGCTGCTATACACCTGTAACCTCAGCACTTTGGAAACTCAGTCAGGATGACAAATTGGAGGCCTTATATGGAAAAAAATTAGTAAAATTATATGAAGTAATATATATAGTAAGCTAAGATGAATTCATGATTGAAGAAAAACTATTTTTATAAATTTAGGGTAGCCTAAGGTTATTTTGTTTACATAGCACGTACCTATGGGTAAGATCTGACTGTTCCTTCCCCCACTCCACACACCATGTAGTACTCCTGAGAGCAACTTCCAATCCTAGAATTCCTTTCATACCAAGTGCCCTATACACATGTATCATCTTTTACATACTTTTACTAAACCTTTTCTACTTGGGGATACTTTGAGATACATGAATGTCACTGTGTTGCACACTCATCTACAGTTTTCAGTACAGTAGCATGCTGACAGTTCTGAAATATAAGAGCAGTAGGCTGTACCATATATGCCCAGATGCAAACTAGACCATCAAAGTTTAAGTGCACTCTATGATGCTCAAGCAGTAGAGCCATCTAACTAGCAAGCTCAAAGCCCTGAGTTCAAGCCTCAGTACCTCCCCATTTAAAAAACAAAACCTACAGGCTTGAGTTTCCAAATAACATTAAATCTCTGGCCAACTCTGGAGAAATTTTAAAAAGAAAGCTGTTCTGGGTGACCTAAAGAAGATACACTTGGAAACAAGAGATGTGGATCAAGTCTGCTCTGAATAAGAGTGTATAGTGTTAACTTTTTGAAACAGATGTGGGGGCCGGGGATGTAGGTCAGTGGTAGAGCACTTTCCTAGCATGATTGGATCACTGATTTCCATCCCTGGCACTGTACTTGTGGGGAGGAGCCAGATAAATTATTAGGCAGATGAGAAAATAGAGGTCTTCCAACCTGTGAATAGGCTATATTCTGGAAATATTTGTCCTTGGGATGTGGTGATTCAACAATCACAATACAAACATACCACCTTACAGCCCATAGACATTTCTTCACCTATTGTATACTTTTTGAATAGTCAGAAGTGCCCCCCACCCAAAGTTGGGGTGAAAGACCTCTTCTCCCCTCATCCAACACATCCTCTCCCAGAGAATTAGTCTAGCCTAGTGCTTCCCAAGCAGTTAATTCCAGAGGACATTTAACACTATCTGGAAAACACTACTGATATTTTTTTACATTCGCAATTCTTGAGCCATTTTTCCATTGGATTTCTCATCTTTTTCCCCCTCCTTGACATGTAAAGTACTATTTATTTTTGTACCAGTACTAGAACTCAGCACCTCACTCTTACTGGGCTTTCTTGCTTACAACTGGCACTCTACCACTTGAACCAAGCTTCCAGTCTAGCATTTTGTTGTTTAACTGGAGATGAGAGTCATTTTTCTGCCCAAGTTGGCTTCAAACTCAGCCTCCTGAGTAGCTAGGATTACAGCTGTGAGCCACCAGTGCCAGCTAGTACATTTTTAAAATATTTTGTCATGTTTTTATTACCATTTTGCCCTTTGATTGGGGTTCTTATTTGCAGGGGAGGGAGTTGTAAACTCAGGACCTGGGCATTGTCCCAGAGCTTTCCTTTTTTGAGCCACACCTCAAATTCCAGCTGTTTTGGTGCTAATTGGAGATAGTCTCAGATTTTCCTGCCCAGCCTGGCTTCAAGTCAGGGTCCTCAGATGGTAGCCTCCCGAATATGTAGGATTACAGACATGAGCCACTGGCAGCCGACCCATTTCACTGTTTTTAACATTGAAATTAAAAGGATGAACACAATGTATCATGTATACTCTAAGTCTGTGTCCTTGTGTGTTAGGTTCAGGAACACCCAGTCCAAAGCTGAAAAGCTGCTGTAGTTCACACAAACCCAGTCTTTACTCCATCTATCCCACAAGGGGTCACTGTTGAAATACAGATCCGCTGCTATCTCAAGACCTTTCACAAGATGGAGCTTGTGAAACTTAGGTGCTCTTAAGTGTTGTTTCTATAGGTTGCTAACACAAAGTTTTAATTTGTAGGAGCTAGCCAAAAAATCTCCAGCAATGTTAACCCCAGGAAAGCAGACCAAGCTTTCGTTTCCTATCATGGTGACATTTCTCTTGCATTAGCTCTGTTATCTCACTACCATCTCAGGTCAAGCCCACTTCTCTCCCAGATGCTATAATAACATTAACATCTTCACCCCCAAGTCATCACATCTCAGTAACTTTTCCAGAAGGTTCCTCAGTCTGTGGGAATTTTTTTTTCCTTCAGCAACCTTCAGATGTTTATATCAAAGGACATAATGAAAAGAGCTGTACTGTCAACTCCCAAAATGTCCAGCCATATTACCCCTCCCCCAACTACAAGAACCCACAAGTGCGTCTTTCATAGCTAAGAACTAGTAGAGGATCTTCACTGATAGATATAGCTGACAATTGTAAATGATAGTTTCTCTGCTAATTAAAAATTAACCTCCAGCACTACATAGCTTTTTTCACATGAGAAACATCCTTTATTTCGTCTAGAGGTAAAAATAAGATTTTTGTATTTCTCATAAGATATTTAAACTCTTAAAAATGCAACTTTGTCTCAAACAAAGCACATGCTATCTTAAAATCTTAGCAATATACATTTGCATATAAACACACAGCACCATTGTCTTCTGACAAAATCCTGCATTAAAAGCCCACACATGACTTTTTGTAAACATGATCCCCCTTAACTTAGGGATTCCAAACCCATTCAGTGCAATATTTATTCTTATTTCCTTAGGAAACACAGGACCAATGATATCTTCTGAGGGTCCAAGTGGAAGATGGAGAAATACTTAAGTTTATAGCACAGGATAGAAAAAAGTTTACAAAAATGAAAAAAAAAACCTCAGATTTTTATCAATATACCCTTTAAGTTTTTTTAAAACATTTCTCAAAGCAGCTTAATGTCAAAAGTAGTTCCTGAGTAACTTCAGTAAACAGTCTTTAAATACATCTATATGCACACACATATTCAAATATATTTGCAACTTAGCTCATGGTTCTGCATTAATTTACTTCCCCCTCCCCCCTCCAGCATTTAGTTGAGTCAAGGTCCCTTCCTTCACTTCAACATGCAAGTCCAATAGCATATGCTGTGGAAGTTGGCATACTGCAGATAGTTCTCCTTCATGAGTATCCACTTGTCAGGCCAGGTCTCCAGAGTCACTGCAGGTCTCCATCTCATTCAACCATGAACACCTCAGGTCTTCTTCATCCGGCGCTGCGACTGCCATGAGTGAAGCTTGTTGTAGGCTGTCTGGAGCATTTCTTCTATGTGACTTACCAAATTGGGGCTTAAAAGCTGTCTCTCAATTTTCTCTTTAAATGGGTTGAGCTTTATAACTTGGAACCGTTCCAAATTACTTTTCATTTTCATTACCTTTGCTTCGAGGGCTGGTGTATTGACAGGAAAGCAGGACCAGAAATGCTGGAGAAGTTCTCCAACAGCCGCATACAAATGTTTCAATTCAGACTGAATATCATCTGGCAACATACAGTTTATGGCTTGCTGTGTCCCTCCCTGCATAAGTGCTCCTCCAGGTGACAGTGCTGTGATGGCACTGATAGCAGCACTACTTGAGAGGGCCTGAGTCAATCTGGGTGTATAAGCTTCCATTTCTTGTCGAATACTTTGAAAAGAATCAATAATTTCCTGACTTGTTGCATACTGTAGTGACTGGTTTGGAATTGGACCAGGATAATACCCATCAGACTTCTTGAGGTTTAGTGCAATTGTTTGAATGGAATTGCTTTTTTCCAAGTCTTCATATTCAATGGACTCTTGCAACTTTGGCCTGGTGACTGCTGGCTGAAAGCATTCAGCATCTCCAGAATTTCCATCCGTGCAGCTGGATTCAGCATTTTCTTCATTTTGTGCTTGTGGTTTCCTGAGACCAGCTGCCAGAACCATGGCACTGTGATGGTTAAATCTCTTTATGATTGCAGCATTATTCGTCTCCATTATGGATGTAGAATTGGAAGTAGATGGCACTGAGGAAATCCCATAGCCCTCATCTAGTGGCTTGTCTTCCAAAGCTGTCAAATCTAGTAGTGGGTTTTTCACTCCTAATGAAATCGCTGTTTTTAACTCCTCTTCATCTATGTTGGCACATTCTGCAAAGAGACCCTTTGAACCTGCAATTAGCTGGTCCCTATGAAAATAATGAGACTGGAAAAAACGTGCCCAAAATTCCTTTTCTGATATGTGGTGGGGAACATTTTCTACATATTTCTTCTTTACTGCTGGGTAGGTCTTAAATATGGATTCAATGTTATCAGATGTTAAATTAAATCTTAACCTATTACAGTCATCTGTTTGGGGCTGGACATCAGCCAGAAATGCTGCAGAAACGCCAACATCCTGCTTGTGATGGGATGTGGAAGAACTATCTGTTGCATCTACACCCAAATGATTGGCCCAGAATTCCTCAGCACTGATCACTTGACTTACAACAAGGTCTTTGTACAGCTGAAACAAAGCAGGGTCTTCTTGGAGCATTCTGGTTTTTCCTTCCAGTTTCTTAGTTGCTTTCCTCTTGAATTTGGGCAGTAGATGCTGAAGAAGTTCCTTCACTGCATCTCGCTCTTTCACTGCTGTGCTTTCATTGGAAAAATGGAAGTCAATGGTGTCTCCTGAATGCAGAACCAGTTGAAGTTGAATTTTAGCTTTGCCTTCTGGACTGATCTTCTGACAGTTAATATCTGCATACCTATGACTGATGGTAAAACTATCTTTGCCTTCAGGTGCCCAAGCAATTCTTTCCTCCATGAGGTATAACACTCCATCCTTCTTCTTTTGACGCACCTTTTTTACAACCAACAAATATTCAGTGGAAGTTGCCATGATGGCAGGTGGAAACTAGAGTCTCTGGCAGGGAGTAAGAAACTGAGGTGCATAGGATGGAGCTCCACTCTGCTCCTAAGAGGCGCAGTTGAGAAGAGGCTGAACCCCAGTGGCTGCGGCCATCACCACTGCCTCTGTTCCTGGGGGACTCTCGCCTCCATCGCTGGCTGCGAGCTCTCGGAGGGCATGTGACCAGAAGCACCAAGCTGAATAGCTATTACTTAAAAAAAAAAAAAGTGGGGGGATTTTTATCACACACTGTCTCTGCATCTTTGAGGCACTTGTCCAATGGATAAGAACTCTAGAATCTCAGTACTAGAATTAAAAAACTGAATTCCTGTTTTTCAGAAACAGAAGTGTGGATTGTATGTGTGATTAACAATTCACTTAATATCTCACTCTTCACATCTGAAAAGAATACCTACCACAAAGGGTTACTATGACAATAAAACATGTAAGTACTGCCGGCACTGAGGGCTTACACCTGTAATCCTAGCTACTCAGGAGGCTGAGATCTGAGGATCACGGTTCAAAGCCAGTCTAGGCAGGAAAGTCCTTGAGACTTTTATCTCCCATTAACCACCAGAAAAATGGAAGTGGTGCTGTGACTTTAAAGTGATAGAGCCCTAGCCTTGAGCTCAAAAGCTCAAGGACAGCACTCAGACCCTGAGTTCAAGCCGTACAACCAACCAAACTATAGTAATAATAATAATAAAACATACTGGACACATTGCCTAATGTTGTTAAGTACTCAATATAAGCTGCTTTTGCTGTTATTATTACTAAATGTAGCTCTTTGACCCAGATGCTGGAGGTTTGCACCTGTGATTCTACCTACTTCAGAGGCAGTGATTGGAAGGTTGCAATGCTAGGATGAACAAAAATGGTCACAAGACCCCATTTCAACAGAAGAAGCTGGGTGTGGTATGCATCTGTCATCCTAGCAACATGAGGAAGCATTATCTAGTGGAGACTCTCCAAACTGGGCCAAGCAAAAGTAAGATGCTATCTCAAAAATAACTACCGCAAGAAGGGCTGGAGGTAATAGCTCACATGATATAACACCTGTCTAGCAATCCGAGTTCAAACCCCAGTGCCACCACAAAAGAAAAAGTATCTCTTCAGTGCCTGGAAGTAGAAATAGTTTATTTCTAAAATCACCTAGGAGCTAGTGGCTTATGCCTTGTAATCCTAGCTTACAAGGAGGCTGATACCTAAAAGATGGTTTAAAGCTGGCCAGAGCAGAAAAGTGTTCAAGAATTCATCTTTGATTTATCTCTAATGCACTATGTCTGACTCAAGTAATAGTAGAGTGCCAACCATGAGGAAGAAAACTGAGAAAGAATGCAAGGCCTAAGTTCAAACCCTAGTACAAGCACAAAAGGAAATAAAAGGAAGGAGCAAAGATTGTGTGGTGAACAAGAAAACCAGTTTTACTACTGGTCTGGAGATATGGTTCAGGTGGTAAAGAATTTCCTTAGCTAGTGCAAGGCTCTGAGTTCAAACTCTAGTACCAAAGGAGGGAAAAAAAGAAAAAAGTCAATTATTGATGAAAGAATTTTATTTTTTCTTAATTTTTGTCATTTAATCCCTCTTTACTTCCTAGTGAAGTCAAACACAATTTTTTGTAATACTGGGTTTTGACAAATGCCCTGCCAATTGAGTCACAACTCCAGCCCCAGATTTTAATAGTATATGTTGCTGCTAAAAGGACTTAGGCCTCTTGAGGCACACCTATTATCCCTGCACTGAGGAGACAGAGGCAGTAAGATCCTAAGCTTAATGCCAGCCTGATCTACATAGCTAAACCGTGTCTTAAAAACAATAACCAAAAATGTCATAGCTGGGCACTGGTTGGTTCACATCTGTAATCCTATTCAGGAGGCTGAGATCTTAGGGTAGTGCTTTGAAGCTAGCCTGGGAAGGAAAGTCCATGAGACTCTTATCTCCAATTAACAACAACAACAATAATAATAATAAGCTGGAAGTGGAGATGTGGCTTAAATGGTAGAACACTAGCCACTCACCTTGAATTAAAAAGCTCAGGGATAGCTCCTAAGCCCCAAGTTCAAGACCCAGAACGATCACACACACACACACACACACACACACACACACACACACACACACACACACACACAAATACACAAATACCTTACATGAAATTAAGTTTATTTGACTAAAAGAATGATTCATGAATTGGGAAACAAGAACCAAATAAGTTAATAGGTTTCACTCTGGCAGTGTGTTCAGTGAGCTTCAATAGGTTGAATTTAGATTGGTATCTTTGGTATCTTAGCTACAGCTAAGGTTCTGCCCTATGTATGTATAATCTAACAAGAGATCCCTGGTAATCTAACAGTTAGCTGATTGGCTGAGGCTGGTTGGTTTGTTTATTACTTAGAGCCAAAATTAAGAGGCCAGGAAAATGGTTCCCACCTGTAATCTCACCTTCTCAGGAGGTAGAGACAAGAGGTTGTGAGTTTGAGTCCAGCACAGGCAAAGAACAAGACTTTATCCCCAAAATACAGTGCAATCAAAGGGCTGGGAAGTGTGTCTTAAGTTGTACGGTGCTTACCTAACATATCCAACCCCCAGCACTACCAAAAACAAATTTTCTTTTAAGGAATTGTGTAAATCCACTACAAGAAAAGCCTATCTATCCATTTCAGTTTGCTTATGGAGGTGCTCTGAGTTTAGTAGCTACTAGGCTGATGTACTTAGTTTTTATTTAATACTACCAAGACATCCATTTACTAGAGGAATGCTTTTAACTATTTTCCCATTTTAAAAATATTTACATTGTGTTTACTTTATTTCTTAGTGGTACTTTGGTTTCAACTAGGGGATTTGTGCTTGCTAAGCAAGTGCCCTATCACTTAAGCCAGGTCCCCAGCCCTTTCTGCATTCATTTTTTTATTTTATTTTATTTTTAAGATAAACTCAGGTAAGTTTGCCCCAGATAATCCTACTTATGCTTCCTGAATAACTGGGATTATAGGTGCACACCACCTTACACAGCTCTAACTATGGACTTTGTCAGGTGTTTGTCATTTTCTGTATTCTTTTGTAAATTGATATTTTAAATATTTCTGACAATTCATTTATTCATCTTGTTTCCTAAGGTGTTTTTTATTTTAAGAATAGTATTTTTTTTGCTGAGCAAAAATTACTCCTGTAATCCAAGATATTCAGGAGGCTGAGATCTGAGGATGACTGTTCAAAGCCAGCCCAGGCAGGAACATCTGTGAGAGTCTTATCTCCAATAAACTGTTTTTAAAAGGCTGCAATGGAGCTATGGCTCAACTGAGAGAGCCCCAGCTTTGAGCAAAAGAAGCTCAGAGGCAGTGTCCAGGCCATGAATTCAAGTCCCAAGACAGGCATAAAAATAAAAAAGTATTTTTCATGTTGCAAATATTTCCCACAATTTGCTGTTTGCTCTTCCATTTATAAAAATTTAAAGCACTAGGCTTCCAAAACTCAATTTTCTACTCTTCTACAGCAGCACATTTTGAAATATTAAAACAGATAAAGAGACCATGTTCTGAGTATCCAGCGACAAAGAAAAGGATCAGGTACAGGAATCATAATAAAAGTGACTAATACTTGAAGTCAGAAGAAAGTGGAATGATATGTTCAATGTGTTGAAGGAAAACACCTTCCAACCTGGAATCTATGCCCAAAGTACCAGTAAATACAAATATTGAATATGGACACTGCAGGCTAGCAAGATCTGAACAACTTTTTCACTAATATTGATATTTTTGTGTTCTGCTTTGGCTCCAGTTAACAAATTGCTATGACTTTTTTGTGGCATAAAAATAATACTGTCTCTTGAAGACAGTGCTGGAAGTCAAAATTCCAAATTTAAGATACTAGTCCCTTCCTCTGTATAAGTAGCAAGACTCTGCTTAAGTATTCAATCTCTCTCTCTAATCCAGCATAATCTCCCCATTTCAAGATTCTTAATGTGATCACATCTTCAAGTCTTTTCTTACCATTTAAGGAAACAGATCAAAGGTCAGAGATTATAACACAAATCTACTTGAAGGACTATTTTTTTTTTTTTTGGTCCGGTCGTGGGGCCTGAACTCTGGGCCTGGGCGCTGTCCCTCAGCTCTTCAGCTCAAGGCTAGCGCTCTACCACTTGAGCCACAGCACCACTTCCGGCTTTTTTCTTCTTGTTTATGTGGTGCTGAAGAATCGAACCCACGGCCTCATGCATGCAAGGCAAGCGCTCTACCACTGAGCCACCTTCCCAGCCCTTGAAGGATTATTACTCTGTGTTCTACATTACCTAATCACACAATGTCTCCACTAAAATAAGGGTAAGAAAAAGGAAAATATGGAATTTAGAAAATAGATTCAGCTGAGCGCCCATGGCTCACGCCTGTAATCCTAGCTACTGAGGAGGTGGAGATCTGAGGATCCTGGTTCAAAGCCAGCCCAGGCAGGAAAGTCCATGAGACTCTTATCCCCAATAAACCACCAGAAAACTGGAAGTGGCACTGTGGCTCAAATGGTAGAATGCTCACTTGAGCTGAAGAGCTGAGGGACAGAGCCCAGGCCCAGAGTTCAAGCTCCACAGTGAAAGAAGAAAGAAAGAAAGAAAGAAAGAAAGAAAGAAAGAAAGAAAGAAAGAAAGAAAGAAAGAAAGAAAGAAAGAAAGAAAGAAAGAAAGAAAGAAAGAAAGAAAGAAAGAAAGAAAGGAAAGAAAGAAAGAAAGAAAGAAAGAAAGAAGAAAGAAAGAAAGAAAGAAAGAAAAGAAAGGAAAGAAAAGAGAGAAAGGAAAGAAAGGAAAGGAAAGAAAGAGAAAGAAAGAAAGGAAGGAAGGAAGGAAGGAAGGAAGGGAGGGAAGAAAAATAGGAGATTCGGTACACAGTAAACAAAAGAACTCTCCATACTGGTGAAGTCACAACAGCCAAATAACCACTGTTCAGCAGTCCTAATGAACACCATGAGAACCATGTCAACTCTCGCACTCACCATTTGAGGAGTCATGAAAGCATTTGGTAAGACTACTAAAGAATATGCTTCACCAAAACACGGAATAACTCTAAATATAAAAACATATTAAAGGAATCCAAGCCCA